GGATCTCAGATAAGTCCGCTTGAAATAATAGATATATCTTGGTTAAAAATTTTGATGCAAAATAATCAGTTGATATACCACATAAGCATCCCGCTGTTAGATGAAGACTACGCCGATTTATACGGAATTTTGCCCCTACCGATAAAGCAGGAAGGCCTAGTCAGTTCAAACACTTATGCCTATATATGGCCGGAGCACGAATACATGGCCATAAATAAAAGAAGCAACACATACATGGCAATAACGGCTCTCGAAGTCTTCAGCTGTAAGAAATTGCGCAAGTTATTTATCTGCGACCATACGGAACCAATAAGAGAGATAAGGCAACATCATTCGTGCGAAGCGCGGCTTATAGTACAGCACAACATAAGCGATTGGAAATAATGTTCAGTTAAAATCGTCAAACTACAAGATACATACTGGGCCCGATTCCATGCACCAAACCTTTGGGCTTTTACAACAGTACAAGAGGAGCCACTGTTTATAGAGTGCTATAGCTCAAACCATAGGACAATTTCACTCAAAGGCACGGGCATTTTACGACTTAATAAATGATGTGCTGCTCACAACACGAATGTGCGCATATCAGCTCCGTTAAATATAGAGGAAAGGCTAAATACCACCTACTTTAGAATGCCAAATATGAACATCAATGGAATATTAGAAGAACTAGACGGAACATTGAAAAATAAGGGGGTTTTGGATGGTGTCAACACACTATTAGCACAAGGGGAACTTAAGTTAATTAATAAACAGGGGCACTCTAGGACCAACCCTCTAGCTGATGGGACACCCTTAGGGGAGATTATTAAAAAGGCTCGCGGGCTCGCGGAAATTCAACAAACACAAAGAGAAGTTACAAATTTCAGATGGCTCGTTTACCTAATGGCAGGACTGATAATCGTGGGAATGAGGTTTCTTTTTCTTATGTATAAGTGCCTTCTTTATTGGGGGGCCCTACTACTTATATGTTATAGAATGTTCGCAGGTAATCAGCGTTAAAACAACTCTGAAAAAGATGGAACCACGGCAATATACTCGTCAGCACCTCAGCCAACATCCATCGAAATGCAGAAGACTCCAAGACGCCTAATTAACATCCCAGTAATCAACACGGGAACATCCTTCAAAGGTCACGAGTTCACATAAAACACACAACGTAGTACAGCAATTTTTATTACCAACGGAAAAATAAATAAAATGAAGGAATATAGAATAATAAGTAATACATAAGTAAAATAACAAGTGTATTGTAATGGCAATAATAACCATATTTTAATTGCAATTTTGTAATGATGATAAAAAAAGAATTAAAAAAAAGAGGGTAATAATATAATAAGAGTAATTATGACAACAATATTATTAAGAAAAACGCGAATGAGCGCCGGGAGTCGCTCGACTGTATTTGTGGGCGCAGTGCCTAGGACGACACTATGAAAGAATTTTTTTTTTTTCAAAAATAATATCGGGAAATTTAAAAAAAAGGGAAAAACTACCTATCATTGAGCACAATACATGGTAATTGTAGCTATTATAACTATAAGACTCAGCAGACGAAAGCAAGCGCCGGGAGTCGCTCGACTGTATCGGGGGGCGCAGTCCGTAGGACGGAGACAAAAAAGAATTTTCTTTTTTCCGAAATACGTAATGACAGTGAAATATAATAAGTTTAATTGTATACAAAAAATACTACCTTCGAACACAACACATGAAGTAAATCAATAAGAAAATAAGTAGATATGAGCGCCAGGAGTCGCTCGACTGTATCGGGGGGCGCAGTCCATAGTACAAACACAAGAAAGAATTTTCTTTTCTCGTTTAAATTAATGGTAAGAAATTTATAGAGGAATTTTTTTTGCAAAATCAACTAACGATAAATAAGTATTTAGGAAATGATAAAATAGAAACTCCCTGTAAAATGATGTAATGTATTATTCCAAATTTATTATTTTGTATGTGAAACAACTATTAATGTAAAGTAGTCTTAAGCAGATGCCCAATTCACGGCAATTTCAAATATAATTTTAATATAAGGCAAAGTGCATACAACATCAATATTTTTATACACTTAACACACAATGAGAGAAGACTGAATGATTAGAAGAGCGAAAGTATTAATGGAAAGGGAACAACGGATCTCTACAATAGAATGAAAGAATGATTGTGAAATATTTTATTTCATAAACAACACAGACAACAGAATACAGCACAGTACACATACAAACAATCGTAAGCAAGTCTACAGGCTCAACTCTGGATAAATTGAAAGGTCAGCGTCGTCAAGGGCAACGAAGTCATGGCCTTGGACGTGTAACGTACGATAGGCAAGGCATATCATATTGACTCTCCCTAGTAACAGCAAGGCTTCTTTATCAAGAAGGCATCAACAGGTGGGGAACAAGCTAATATAAGGCCCAGTGAGCCTCAATTCGCGGCACTCAGGCGGCATTCGGGTACTCAGGTGGCACTTAGGCAGTCAACCAGTCAGAGAGTCAAGGAGTCGAGCAGTAGGGCATTCACGGATTTGGGAATTAGGGTTACACGACGAGCCTTAGAGACCAAGCACACGCGCTACATTGCCTTTAATTTCGGTGATTGAATAAAGCTCTTGATATAATCAATTGTTGATCATTCTCACGAATCACCTCCTTACCAATATCTTCCCTATGTAACAGTTATGTAAACAAACTCCAACTTTTTTATTTGAATGCTGAGATAAAGATTTGCCACTGATATATACGTATACTCTTCCTCAGAAAACAAAAATGTTTTTGCAATTTCAATAAGTATTTTAGTAGAGGTTTTCGTCTTGCGTTACTTAAATTTATCTATTATATGCACGATCACTGATTATGCAATAGCAATAATTCCTTTGTTAAGAATTGTACTAATGTTGTTCTCCCTGATTTTGGCATATTAACTTTCAAACTGGGAGCTAAATTTAATTTTACTTTGTTTCCAGATTCTTAAATTATTATGAAATATTTTAAATCTTTGAACTGTACTTTAACCTTTAACAAATAAGACAAAGAAATGTGTGTAATTATAGATAAATCATGCCTTAATATCTTAAAAAATCAGATAGTAAAAAAAATTTTTCAAAGCAACACACTGAGCTTTCTGTTACTAGAGCAGACAAAAAAGGCACCGCTGTCGTTTTGTATAAGAAAAATAATTCTTGTAAAGTCAATGCCATTTTGTCTGATGTTTCACACTACATTAAATTACAAGATAATAATAGAAAAAGAGTCCTTTCCCATATTATTTTTGCTGTAAAGAATCTTGTCAAAAAATGGGACGAGAGAGAGGCGCTTAAAGCAGTAAAGGTTCCAGAGCCAGATATTTTGAACCTAAATCGTAGCAAGATTTCTAAGGCCTATGGCTTAATTGAGGCACATAAGGATGGTTTTCCAGACAGGTTAATTGTGTCTTTGATTGGTTCCCTGATTGATCAACTGGATAAATGGTTTTCAAAACATTTTAAAACATTTTCAAACAAATCTAATTATTCTGTAAAAAACGCTTACTGTTTGGTTTTGAGCCTTCGATCTTTGGACTGTATGAAGGATGATGTATATAGGGACCGAACAGCGAGGGCAAGTAGAAGAATGAAACTTTATTCACTTTTCGAAGGTCACTTAAATTCATTCATTCAATTAACATACAAAATAAGAGAATAATGGTACAAGTTTTATATCTGTCTTTTTCCGAACACTTGTATACAAAAAATTTGTTCTTTTTAATTTATACGCAAGAGATTGTTCTTTGTTAGTGTCTTCGCAGGGAAAACTGCACTTCACTGCACTATAGTCATTGAGTCATGTCTTAATATTAACGAAATTACAGTTGTATTAATGCCCTTCTTGCAGACTATCCTGATTAGTAAATCCGTTCGATAGCTGCAAGGTACACATGGCGATTTTCTTACGATTATATAATAACCTATGAACTCAGTTCAACAAGAACTGAGTAGTTGGTTTTTGACGTGACGAGGTCGTGACAATGGCGGACTTTCCGCCACGTATAGCACGGTATTTGATTAGAGAACAAGCAAAGTCTCACCTTTTGCTTCGTCGAACTAAACATCGACAAATTAATTGTTGAAAGCTCCAAGTCCTTAGCAGTAGCGTTGATAAACGAACGCGCGAAAAACCAAAGTGGGAAAAGAGCTCGAACTCTCGCGACAAACGTGGTTTTTCAGCAATGGCGCTCTGGCCTCGTTCGAACAGAGCTGTACTAGTACCTGACTAGCTAAATGAACGACCAGTTGCTGACTCTGCGCAGCCAGCGTCTCTCTTGCTGCTCGTTTACGCGACGCAGCGGCGATATTGGCTACCTATACCACGTGGGTCTCTCGCTATCTCTTTCTCTCTCTCCTCACTAGACTCTTTTTTGAACAAACTGCACCCTTGGCTTGCTCGACTTAAATACGAGTGCAAGCCAACCTAATTTATTCATTTTCTACCAAAAGAATCAACCGATGGATAGGTCGGGGGAGGGTGGAGGAACACGTCTTAATGGAAGCCACTCGAACTAGGTTGTCTTTTCCGGGGTAAACTCTAAGAACTCTCCCAAGAGGCCAACTGCCCAGAAGGGTATTATTTGATTTTATTAGCACCGTATCACCATGAACGAGTGATCAAGAAGGCAACGTCCATTTTTTTCTGGATTGAAGAGAGGTGAGATATTCGGTGGTCTATTTTTTCCAAAATTGTTGGGCTAATTGTGCGATAAAACGTCAACGTCGCAATAAGAGCACCTTAACATTTTACAATCGAGCTTCTGAAATGATATAAGGTTCCTTCAGGTTTAGCAAATAAGCAGGAGTAATTACGGCGAGACTTTCTATATCGTTGTTCAACGAGACGAGAGGGCAAGACTTCAAGAAACCCCGATTCGACATAATAAAGTGGAGTATCCAACGAAAGTAAGAGCTTGATCGCCTATCACTCGCTTAAGATGAAATTTCGCGGATTTCACAGCGGCTTCCCGAATTCCACCAAAGTGGGGGGCAGCTAGAGGGTTGTAGTGCCAAGTAGTGTTCATTTCAGCCAGTTTGGACTTAGGATAGGATTGACTAAATTTATTCAACATTTGAGCTAGCTCTTTCTCAGCTCTGATAAAGTTAGTGGCTTGGTCACTGTAAAGTTCCGAATAAGCACCACGGCGAGACGTAAATTGAGTGAAAACGGTAATGAACGCTTCTGTGGAATAATCTTTGACAATTTCCAAATGAACAGTACGGGTGCACAAACAAATAAACACAGCGATCCAACCATTAGTGGTTATTTTACCTCGGGTCTTGGTAAGACGATTTTTAACGGGTCCAGCGTAGTTGATACCTGTTTTAAAAAAAGTAGAAGCTGGCAAAACACGAGGAGTGGGGAGCGAACTCATCATTTGCGATCGGGTGCGACCCACATATCGCTTACAAGTTACGGAACGAGATGTCACTGAGTTGACTGTTTGAAGACCTCCTACGATCCAAAACTCCTGACGAGTATTTACCAATGTGATTCTGGGACTGCCGTGAAGACATCTAAGATGGGTAGCATGGATGATAATAGTAGTTAGGAGTTCGTCTGAAAGCAATACTAAAGGGTGTTTGTTACTAAATTTTAATTCCAAATTTTTCAACCTTTCGCCAACTCTTATCAGCCCTTCATCTAAAAAGGGAGACAGTTTTACGAGTTTACTCAACAGTGGTAATGGTTTTTGTTGCTCCAAAGGTAATGTCGTATTAGCCAACAAGATGTCAATTTCGGTAACAAAATAATGACGCTGATGAACAGCAACCCAATACAATTTTGCTTGTTTAATTTCTTTTAAACAGAGAATGGGACTCTTAATCTGGTCGAAGATTTCAATTTGCAGAAACGAAAACTCGTTAAACCATGTATCTTTGTTCTGGCGATCTTTCTGTTTCCAGCTCAAATATAATCGAATAAGAAATCTAAGACAGTAAGCCATGATTCTTAACAATTTCGTATAATCGGAATAATGACTCAAAAGATTCTAAGCTGGATAACTAGAAGAAACGACGTGATCGGTGGCAAGTTCTTTAGTTGACTTAACGAAATTAAAAAATTCTGGGTTAGGAAAATGCAACAGTTCGGGTCCTTTGTACCAACTGTTAAGTAAGAACATCTGATCAGGAAAAATTCCTCGAGTAGTAATATCTGCTGGGTTGAGTTTACCAGAAATGTGATGCCAGTTTGCTTTCGGGACGAGGTTACGAATATCCGCACAACGATTTGCAACAAAAACTGGCCACTTAGAGGGTAAATCAGTTAACCAGTGAAGCACGTCCTTGCAGTCAGTCCAGAGGTGAAGCGAATCGATCGGAAGTTTGATTTCTTTAATATAATAATGGACTGCCTTGGCGAGAAGATGAGCAGCACACAACTCAAGACGCGAGATACTAACAGTTTTTATCGGGGCAACCTTAGTTTTGGCTAGCTGCAGTGACACTTGAACTCCATCTTCTCGAACAACTCGCAGATATAGGAGAGGACAGCAGCGTAGGCGGATTTTGAAACATCAGAGTACCCGTGAATCTCTATGATTTTGGATCGAGGACAATAAAAATTTTAACGGGGAATCTAAATTTGATTAACTTGAGGGAGTCTACGCAACCAACACAACTATGATTCCGTGTGCGAATTCGGTGGAGGATCGTCCCAATCTAATTTGAGAATCCACAGCGACTGCATCAAGATCTTGACAGTGATGACTAAAGGAGATAACCACCCGAGGGGATTGAACAGTTTCACGATTCGAGAGAGAAGCAATCGCTTTGTCCAGACAGTACGGAATTCGTCAAGTCTTACTTGGTAATGAACAATATCTGATTCCGGTTTCCAGACAAGTCCTAGTACAGTAACAGAAGTTTCGCTGTCAGCCAAGGTTATGTCCTTAGATAGTACTAACGCTGGACTTAAGATAATAAAATATAGTAAACTCACCTAATTGCTTGAGTGACTGTAGCTCGGTTATCTTAAGCTTTGCTTCCATTTGAAAATGGGCACCAGAAAGAACGTCGTCCATATAAACATCCTGACTTAAAGCTTTAGCTCCCGCTGGGAAACTTTTCTTTCCATCTAAAGCTAGCTGTTTTAACACACGAATGGCTAAAAAAGGAGAACAATCCAAACCATAGGTGACAGTTAAAAGTCTATAAATCTTAATGGGTTCGTTTGAGTCGAATCGCCAATATGTTGTCTGATAAACTTGATCATAGTCTTGGACTAAAATCTGACAAAACATTTTTCAACGTCGGCCGTAAAGGCGATACGGTATTTTCTCCATTTGATAAGTAAATCGAAAAGACAGGGCAATAGGTTCGGTCCAGAGTGAAGTACATCGTTAAGTGAAACGCCTCCCTTGAGCCTTCGATCTTTGGACTGTATGGAGGATGATGTATATAGGGACCGAATAGCGAGGGCAAGTAGGAGAATGAAACTTTACTCACCTTTCGAAGGTCACTGAAATTTACTCATTCAATTAACACACAAAAAAAAATTACGGTACAAGTTTTATATCGCTCTTTTTCCGAACACTTATATACAAAAAATTAGTCCTTCGAGCCGGATCGCAAGGCAAGCCATAAAGGATTTACAGAGTTCTACCAAAAAAGCAAGGACGCCATCTTTGCTGCAACGCACCAGAAGGGAACTGCTTGAGCCGCGAGGAGAGATGCTTTACGGCAGCCGTTTTCGACCACTTAAAAATCACGTCGCCTCGGATGAAGAAGACAAGCCGTGACGTCATCGCCTTACCAGAAGAGCCAACTGTGCGCCAGTAGCACCCTAGTGGAATTGTGTATAAACCAACGCTGAGTGCTAGTGCGGTAAGGGGAGAGTGCTCCATCGCTCCAGTGTCACAGTTTTGAGCGCTGTTTTTGTGCCTTTCGTCGAGCGCTGTTGCTGCGTTGTTCAAGTCGTCGCTACTCCGTTTCTGCTGCATGGCTGTTGAGCTTCCACCCAACTGTTGCCGCTGAGCTACAATTAAATTGACTTGCGAACGTCGCTATTGTTCTGCTACCTTGCTGCTGCGCTGTAGCTGCATCTTTCGTCGAGCGCTGCGATTGCGCTGTTAAAAGCTGTTCGCTAAAAAAAATAACAAGCTGGTTTTCGAGGAACAGCGTTGTTCGTGAGTACCCAGAAAAGAAGTAAAAGACTTTAAGTTGTCATTTTCGAATTTTTAACTTTGCGTCGATAAAAATTAAAAACTTTAAATCGTTTAAAAATTATTCTCTTTTTGATAACAAGTATAAATATCTTTATTTTGACTGATAGTACAATAAAAAAAAAATTAATCCAAGAGATCTGTTTACGTTATACTATATTCCAGTTTTCTCTTATATTGTCGGACAATCCGTTTAAGCGTTTTCTATCGATGAGATCGTCTCATAATTATATCGCGTTATAAGGAGTTGTCGCCTTTATTGTAGAGAGTATGTGAACAATTTAACATCAACTGTCGATGAAAGAGAATATAAAAGACGCGCTGCATCTATAATTTACAAATCTACTATTACTATCTAGTCAACAAATTTAATTGTTTAGAAAATTGATTCGCGTTATTGTAGAGTACCAATAGTTGACAAAAATTCAAAAGTTAGAAATTGTTAACGGGACCAAAATCAACGCGTTCAACTCAGTGTACTTTCAATTGTTGATTTACCCGCGAATTTACCAAACCCGACGATTGATTTTGTTAAAAACAAAAGGGCTAAATTGCAAAATGATTGTTATCAATATACTTTGATTTCAACTTGATTAACTAAAGAATCTCGATGCTGAGTCGATTCTCGAGTTCACAAGGTCATGGAATTTTATTACACCATTGTTGAATGCTTCGATGCTTCATTAAATTCGTTTAGCTGTTAGAATAAAGTTAGTTTAAGTAAAAAAAAAAAAAGTTAATAACTTACATTGTTTGAATTGAAATTGGTGATAAAACGTAATTTGAACTTACGAATTCAATTATGATTGAATAATTGAACGGTAAATTTTTTGTAAGTTTGCGATTTAACATAATAATTTTTTATATCAAATCTTACGGTCTCACCTCACTAGAACAAGGAAGTAATTTGATTATTATAATTAGTTAATGAGTTTTGATAGTTGTTTTTCTGTCAAGAGCTCTTCCATTCCCTTCCCCTTCTTTTCTATAATAACTTTACAATCCCAAATCTATTTTTGCCATGGAGAATTTTATTAAACTACAAATGGCCCTTCAAGGTCCCATTGCCAACGCTTTTGCTGATTTTAAAAAGGTTGGACAACAAAAAATGACAAAGGGATTGGCTCTCGCTTATGTAGATTGATTGAATGAGCGTTATGATAGACTAAAGCAAATTCATAAAAAAGATCCTGAGTGCATAAGATCTAAAAAATGAATATATTACAAAGGATTTATTTGAATCTATAAGCGACGATTATTTTGCTTCTAAGGGCACGTTCAATGATTTCCTTGACCAGCTAGAAACCGCCGCTGCTTTAGATGAATCCGTGCTTAATAGATCCGGACAGCAAGGTATTGTGTTTAGCCCTCCCGCTCAACTACCACGAGTAGAGCTTACAAACATTTCAGGCGAAGTACAGTATTGAAAACCTTTCAAGAATGTATTTCGATCAATAATACATCGTTGAAACGATATAACCTTAAAAGTCAAATTTCATCATTTACGAACTCATCTTTCAGGTGAGGCTGCTAATTTATTGAAAAGTTTGCCGATCACTACTGAAAATGACCAGATAGCTTGGAATCAATTATGTAAGAATAACGGCAGTAAAAGACGTTTAGTCTCTAATTACGCGAGAATAATTTTGTCTTGCAAACCCATGAAGTCAGATTTCCTTCATGAAATTAAGAACTTGATTCTCTCATTGCTATTGAGCGCAATGTCAGTGAAGCAGATTTATTTATCAAGCTCGTAATTAGTAGGTTTGATGTTGGTACGAAGCGTGACTGGCAGCGATTTCTTGGATTTGATTCTAATCTTCCTGCTTTGGAACAGTTGCGCAGTTTTCTTTTTAATCAAGCTTTGCTTCTTGAAGGGATAAATGATCGTGGTACTTTTAGTCGACAGACAAATAGAACAACTACTGTTCACGCGTCAAGTGAGGACCAGCCGTATTTTGATGTATTTTGTGTGAAGAGACACACCCGATAAAGTCGTGTCCAATTTTCAAAGGACTAATTTTTTGTATACAAGTGTTCGGAAAAAGAGCGATATAAAACTTGTACCATTATTCTCTTTTTTTGTGTGTTAGTTGAATTTATAAATTTCAGTGACCTTCGAAAGGTGAATAAAGTTTCATTCTCCTACTTGCCTTCGCTATTTGATCCCTATATACATCATCCTTTATACAGTCCAAAGATCGAAGGCTCAAAACCAAACACTTACGAAGATGGAGAAATAATTAAAAAATTAGTAATTTCAGAGAATTATGCTTTTGTATCTTTTGACGTAGTATCAATATATACTAATCTTCCGTTTTCTCTAATAAGAAATTGTATGTAGCAAAAAATTAATAACTTCATCAACCTTTTGGGCATAGACAAGACTGAGTTTTTGGATGGAGATAAGTTATTCAGAGTTTCTTCTGTTATTTCTTTCAAGCCCAGTGCTTTAGACCGTATATTTTTTGTAATAATAGAAGTACTCGTGTACGTCGGTGCACTAAAACTTAAGGGTATGTTTTCTTAAATACGAGGGGTATTGATAATTCTCCACTCGTCATATCCTTCCTTAAAATTTCATCTTCATTAAATAGGGGTTTAAATTCCGTTGTACGTCTGGATAAATTTGCAATTTTTTTACCTAATACAGAATTATCAAAATCATCGGGATCGTTAGTGTCTACTTCGATTAATGTGTCCTGAATTTTGGGATCCAGCTTATCTTTGTCATAAAATCTGGTTACTAATAAAAAATCTGTATAAGCTTGTTCGGGTTCATC